TTCTGACTCACTTCACTCCATATAATAGGTTCTAGGTTCATCCACCTCATCAGAACTGACTCAAATGCATTCCATTTTATATCCAAGCAGGAATAAATTAAAAAGAAATGAAAGAAACAATAGTAAAGATTAATAAAACTAAAAGGTTGTTCTTTAAGAAGATAAGCAAAATTGACAAGCCTTTAGCAGGACTCATTAAAAACATATTTTAATCTTTAATTAATTATCTAGACAGAAAATTATAACTGAATCTGAAATAGTGACCCTGAAACATATATTTGCATTTTCAGTGTGTAAATTTCATTCATTAATGTGATATTGCTGGATGTTGTGAATGTCTCTGTTTGATTCCCAGCATATAGTCTAGGAGAGGAACTGCCTGTTTATTAGTCTATGAAATTCTTGTATGCTCCCTGCTCAGTAATCTGTGCTTCCTATGTGTGTGTGCTAAGACACTTCAGTCGTGTCTGATTCTTTGCAGCACTATGGATTGTAGCCACCAGGCTCCTCTGTCCATGGGGATTCTTCAGACAGGAATACTAGAGTGAGTTGCCATGTGCTCCTCCAGGGGATATTCCTGATCCAGGGATCAAACCCAGATCTTTTCTGTCTCCTGAATTAGCAGGCAGGCTCTTTACCACTAGCACCACCTATATATCATGCTAATGCCTCTATTCCTTACTGTCTTTACCTATGGGTAAGGAGGTATTCATTACTTTAATGGGTATATGTACAGATTGAGAATGAATGCTATGCATAATATTATAATGTTTACATTATTATATTCAATATCATTTCTGACTTGAAGGTCATACTAAGTCAATTCCTTGTGGCTAGCTGGTAAAGAATCTGCCTGCAATGTGGGATACCTGGGTTCAATCCCTGAGTTGGGAAGATCCCTTGGAGAAGGGAAAGGCTACCCACTCCAGTATTCTGGCCTGGAAAATCCCATGGACTGCATAGTCCATGGAGTTGCAAAAAATCAGACACAACTGAGCAACTTTCATTTCACTCACTGCTTCTGTATAGACTATAAGGGCAGATGTATATTTGATAATCAGTTTTGCCAGTGACTTTGGCAGCCAATGTGGACAAGAGAACAAAATCCTAATTAGGAAAATAAAATCCAATGACCTGTTATAAAACGCATAATTATATAAAGGTCTACTGCATTGAGAACACCTGTTCAGGAAATGATATAAAAAGGGATGATGGATGTAGAAGTGAAAAACTGCACTCTTGGGTTTTTCCTCTTCTATAATATTATAAACATGACCTAGTTTCCAAATGTAGTTTTTTTTTTCTTAGTAAAACAAGTGACACAGTAAACTAGGGTGATATTTGTCACTTGAGAAGACATGGTTCTTTATAAAGGACGGAAACAGTATGGACCTAAAAGGAGCAGAAGATATTAAGAAGATGTGGCAAGAATACACAGAAGAACTATACAAAAAAAATCCTAATGACCCAGATAACCACAATGGTGTGATCACTCACCTAGAGCCAGACATCCTGGCAGGTGAAGTCAAATGGGGCTTAACAAAGCTAGTGGAGGTGATGGAATTACAGTTGAGCTACTTCAAATCTTAAAAGACGATCCTGTGAAAGTGCTGCACTCATTATGCCAGCAAATTTGGAAACTCAGCAGTGGCCACAGTACTGGAAAATGTCAGTTTTCACTCCAATCCCAAAGAAAGGCAATGCCAAACAATGCTCAAACTACCACACAACTGTGTTCATTTCACATGCTAGCAAAGTAATGCTCAAAATTCTCCAAGCCGAGCTTTAACAGTATGTGAACCATGAAATTCCAGATGTTCAAGCTGGATTTAGAAAAGGCAGAGGAACCAGAGATCAAATTGCCAACATCTGTTTGATCACAGAAAAAGCAAAAGAGTTCACGAAAACATCTACTTCTTCTTTATTGACTGTGTGGATTACAACAAACTGTGGAAAATTCTTAAAGACATGGGAATACTGGATCAGCTGCCCTGCCTCCTGAGAAATCTGTATGCAGGTCAGGAAGCAACAGTTGGAACCGGACATGGAACAACAGACTGGTTCCAAATTGGGAAAGTAGTACATTACTGTTTTATATTGTCACCTGCTTATTTAAATTATATGCAAAGTACATCATGCAAAATACCAGCTGGATAAAGCACAAGCTGGAATTACAATTGCTGGGAGAAATAACAATAACCTCAGATATGCAGATGACACCACTCTTATGGCAGAAAGTGAAGAGAAGCTAAAGAGCCTCTTGATGAAAGTGAAAGAGGAGAGTGAAAAATCTGGTTTAAAACTCAACATTCAAAAAACTAAGATCATGGCATCTGGCCCCATCACTTCATAGCAAGTAGATGGGGAAATAATGAAAACAGTGACAGACTTTATTTTCTTGGGCTCCAAAATCACTAAAGATGGTGACTGCAACCATGAAATTAAAAGATGCTTGCTCCTTGGAAGAAAAGGTATGACCAACCCAGACAGCATATTAAAAAGCTGAGACATTACTTTGCTGACAAAGGCCTGTGGTTTTCCACTAGTTAGGTATGGATGTGAGAGTTGGACCATAAAGAAAGCTGAGTGCTGAAGAATTGATGCTTTTGGATTCTGGTGTTGGAGAAGACTCTTGAGGGTCACTTGGACTGCAAGGAGATCAACTCAGTCAATCCTAAAGTAAATCAGTTCTGAATACTCATTGGAAAGACTGATGCTAAAGTTGAAACTCCAATTCTTTGGTCACTTGATGCATTGGAAAAGGCCGTGATGCTGGGAAAGATTTAAGACAGGAGGAGAAGGTGCAAAAGAGAATGAGATGGTTGGATGGCATCACGGGACCCATTGAATATGAATTGGAACAAGCTCTAGAAGTTGGTGGTGGCCAGGGAAGCCTGGTGCGCTGCAGCTCATGGGGTCTCAAAGAGACTGAACTGAACTGATTCTTAGTAAATTCAGGCAGTTTCTTGCAATACATAGGATTTTTCAACTTTTTCATATCAAAGTTTGAGGAAAAGGTAAGGAAACATGTTGGGAGACACCGGGATGCACCCAATCCATGACAAGTTCATGGAATGAGAGAGGAACCTGCAAGGCAGCTCTTCCCCTCGAGGTTGTCCTGGGGACAAGTCATGGGATGAGAAAGGAACCTGCAAGGCAGCTCTTCCCCTCGAGGTTGTCCTGGGGACAAGTCATGGGATGAGAAAGGAACCTGCAAGGCAGCTCTTCCCCTCGGGGTTGTGCTGGGGGTCTGGTATGTCCCTTTCCTCTTTCTGTCTTACTGTTGTTGGGCTTTCTGTTAATTTTTGGAAATGTAATATATAGTAATGAGGCCTCCTGGAAAAGTCCAAGCCTATTTAGAAATGCTCATGATTGCTCTGGCTCAGGACACGACCATAAACATAAAGTCAGAAAGGAAAAGGCCACATGCATAGTTTGGCTGCTTGCTTAAAAGATTATAATGTTCTAGAATAGAAAAGATTAGAGGCATTTAGATTTAGAAGTAGATGTACTGCTTCAGTTTACTTGCTCCTTGGTTGAGAGGGTTTTCATTATTGCTATTTCCTTGCTGCTATTTGTCCATTGTTTCCCTTCCTTTAAACAACATGGAATATTATGGGTATTTTTGTAGAGTTAGGAAATGTGTTACATAGGATTTCAATAGAAGATTTATATTAACCAGCTTCACTGCCATTACCTCACTATTAATAGAGGTGTTTTGCTGCTTTAGAGGTGCTTTGCTGCTTCATAGTTAATCATTGTAGACTGAGGTTTTGTGGTTTCAGGTAAAGAAAAATATCAGGGTTTTCACATGGTACTATTCTCAGAAATGTCAAACATGTTTTTTTGTAAACCTTTCTTGTGTATTGTTTTATTACCCAAAGAATTCATACTACATCTGGAATCTAGGGAACAATGTTTTTATTAGAATGAAAATGTTAGGCCATTGAGGCAAGAAGACTAGTGCATGGGACATTCATGAAAAAAACAAAACAAAACAAAACAAAACAAAACAAAAAACCCCTGCAATCAGAAGTGTTCTAGATGAATGCATAGGGGAAAAACATGGGAAAGAAAAAAAAATTGACAGAAGCACGAAACCAATATCTGATGTAATATGTGGTGACTTAAGGGGGAGGTAATGTTCATTCTATAAAAACTGAGCTGTCCTAAAAATAAAGAGGAGAGCTTTTTCTTCCACACAACCTTCTGTGTGTGTCTGTTTCCTTCCTCGCCGACGCCACTCATCCCTTGGGTACTCCTGGATCCGCTGGGGCTGGGCTCCGGCAGAAACAGGAAGAAAAAAAGAGAAGAAAGCCATTGCATATCTTCATTAATAAATGAGGTAATTCCATTGAACCAGGTAGTTGAAAAATAAAAATTCAGGAAATAAATAAAAGAGCAACTTTCACTTCCACAGTCTGATTAAAGAATCACAACAACTGACTCTGAGGCATTGAGCCCTGCAATGATGGGCATTTGTCCAGACCCAGAATTATTTTCCTTTTTAGACTCACCATCACAAAGAGTCTTTTCAGAGCCCCATTTATGTCTTTATTTCTCAGACTGTAGATGAAGGGATTCAGCATGGGTGTGACCACAGTGTACATTACCGAGGCTGTTGCACTTGAGTGTGAACTCTGGGTAGCAGCAGAGCTAAAGTACACTCCTAGGCTTGTAGAAAAAAATAAGGAGACAACTGAGAGGTGAGATGCACAGGTGGAAAATGCTTTATATTTCCCTTGAGTTGATGTGATTCTATGGATGGAGGAAATGATCTTTGAGTAAGAGTAAAGGATACCAGTCAGGGCACCACAACCTAGCAGGGCAGTTGTAAAATAAATCACCATGTAATTAAGAAAATTGTCAGAACAGGCAAGTTGGGTCATCTGACTGAGGTCACAAAAAAAGTGGGGGATTTCCACATTAGTGCAAAAGGAAAGCTGCAACATCATTAAGCTTTGTAACAAGGAATTCAGAATACACATGATCCAAGACACCAGAACCAGTAGTCCACAGATCCGGGGATTCATGATGATTGTATAGTGCAGTGGGTGACAGATGGCCACAAAGCGGTCATAGGCCATCACAGTCAGGAGGAAGATGTCCAACACTGCAGAGAGGAGGAAAAAATAAATTTGTGTGATGCAGCCTTCATAGGTTATAGCTTTGCTCTGGGTCTGGATGTTCCACAACATCTTTGGGATAGTGGTAGAGATGAAACAGATGTCTACAAAGGACAGGTTAGAGAGGAAGAAGTACATGGGGGTGTGAAGATGGGAGTCTGAGCTGACAGTCAGGATTATGAGCAGGTTTGCAAACACGGTGATCAGGTACATGGAGAGGAAAAGTCCAAATATGAGGGGCTGTAGCTCTGGTTCCTCTGAGAATCCCAGGAGAATAAATTCTGAAATTTGTGTATCATTGCCTGGTTCCATGTGTTTGAAGTAACTACCAGGAAAGAAAAAAAATATTACAAATATTCACACAAACTTGAATGCAACATATAATTAAAATTGGCCTTACGTTTGGCCATCAAGAAACTAATTTTAGTATTCTGTGTCCAGATCTGATTTATCCCTGTGCCATCTCTGACTTGGACTTTTTGTTCCAACCAACTTTCCCACCAAGAAGTCATGTATTCTACAGTTTTAATGAAAAATTCTTCATGATTTCAGGAATGTAAATTGAGGTCTGACCATGATTCATTAATAGTTACTATCTAGGCAATTACTTCTAAGGTCATGAAAAGCAAAGGTGCCTACAATTCCATGATGGAGAAAAATATGTAAGCCATTAATAACATTATACAATACTTACAGATGGAAATAAGTGGTATAAAGAAATCTAAAGTAGCTATAAAGGAGACAGTGAATAGTGCATTCAATTTGTCATGGGTATTTAGGCAAGACCTGAAAACAAGGTGACATTTGATCAGTGACTTCATGTAAGAGGAGAGAAATGAAAGACTGTGTGGAAGTGTGCGCCTGGCGGAGGGAATGTCCAGAACTCAGATAAATAAATTCAAAAATGAAAGAGGAGATTTTACGACTGATACTAGAGAAATGTAAAGGATGATGAGAGACTTTTGTGAGCAATCATATGTCAAGTTGGGTAATCTAGAAAAAATGGAAAATTTCCTAAAAAAAATACAACCTCCCAAGACTAAATCATTATAAAACAGAAAATGTGAAGAAGCAAATCACTAGTAAGGAGATTGAATCAATAATAAATGACCTCCCAACAAACAGATATCTAGGATGAGATGCCTTCACTGGTGAATTCTACCACACATTCAAAAAGGAATTAATATCAATCTTCAGAAAGTATTTGAAAACTAGAAGGGGAAGAGACTCTTCCAGACTAATTTTTTTTAAAGGTCGTGTAATATTTTATTAATTACCTGCCTGACACATTTCTATCATACTTCTTCCCTTACATTTTGGCTGTGTGCTCTTTTTTATTTTTATTTTTTTTTTACCATAATCAAGGTAGTCAGTTACAGATTTATTACTAACAGTGAGAAATCTCTTATGTTATTCTTTTTTTCCTTTCTTTTTTTTCCCACCAAACTCATTTTATAAAAGCAGCACTACCCTTATACCAAAATCAGACAAGGACTCTACAAGCAAAGAAAATTACAGACCAATATCCCCAGTACAAACATTCTCAACAAAACACTAGCAAAACTGAATAATGCATAAAAAGGATCATGTATCCTGATCAAGTCAACTTATTTCAGCGTGCAAGAATGGTTCAGCATCTGTGATCAATCAATGTGATATACTACATTAACAAAATGAAGGACAAAACTTGTATAAACTTTTCAACGGATGCAGAAAAACTTCTTGACAACATCAAAGCTATCTTTATGATTAAAAACTCTCCAACAAATTGGATAAAGCAGGAACATAGCTCAACATAATAAAGGGCATGTATTACAATCCCAGAGCTAACATTATATTCAATGAAGAAAAGCTGAAAGCTTTTCCTCTTTAAACAGGAACAAGACAAAAGTCAGCTGTTTATTTTCCAGTTTCATTTAAAAAATAATTGATATACACCACTGTGTAAGTCCTTGGAATACAGCATGAAGGTTTAATTTGCATAAATTTTGAAATGATTACCACAGTGGGTTAAGCTAACATCCATCTTCTCAAACAGATACAGTAAAAATAAAGTGAGAAATAAAATAAAAAGGAAAATAAAATATTTCTCACCCCAGGAATGAACTGGGGTCTCCTGCACTGGCAGGTAGATTCTTTACCATCTGAGCCATGAGGTAAACCCCTTCTAGTGATAAGAATTCTCGTATTTACTCTCCTAACAATTTTCCTATATATTGTACAACAATGTAAGTTAGGTTGTTGTTTAGTTGCTAAGTCATGTCCAATTCTTTTGTGATCCCATGGACTATAGCCCGCCAAACTCCTCTGTCCATGGGATTTGCCTGGCAAGAATACTAGAATGGGTTGCCATTTCCCCCTCCAGGGGATCTTCCTGACCCTGGGAGCAAACCCACTTCTCCAGCATTGGCAGGTGGATTCTTTACCACCGACCCATCAGGGAAGCCCAACATTAGCTATACTTATCATTTTTTACATTGCATCTACATCTAGTACTTATATCTGGAAGTTTCTGTCTCTTGATAACTTTTTTTCTATTTTCTTAAGCCTCAACACTCTGCTTCTGATAGACACAAGTCTGTTTTTTTCTATGATCTTTCTGCTTTTGTTTATTTAAAATTCAACATATAAGTGAGATCATAGAGTATTTGATTTTTTTTTGTTGTTGTTGTTTTACATCTTTCAGTTAGTATAATGCTTCCATGTTTCATTCATGCTGCCATAAGTCAGAGGATTTCTTCTGTGTGTCATTTTTTTATGGTTAAGTATTATTTCATTGTGTACATTCACCTTAACCTCTTTACCCATTCATCCATCCATTAAACCTTAGGTCATTTCCATATCTTAGCTCTTGTGAACAATGCTGCTATGACTATCAGTTGCAAATCTGTTGCATTTTTCTACATTAATCATGAACTATCAAAAATAGAAATTAGGAAATAGCACATTTTCCAACTGCATCAAAAAGAATAAAATACCTAAGAATAATCAAGCAGGTATAAGACCTGTACACTGAAAAGTATAAGACATTGGTGAAAGAAATTGAAGAAGACACAAATATATGGAAAGATATACCCTACTCATAACTGAGATAACTAATATTGTTTTTTTAATTAATTGATTTAGTTTAATTGGAGACTAATTATTTCACAATATTGTGGTAGTTTTTTGCCATACATTGACATGAATCAGCCATGGATGTACATGTGTCCCCCATCCTGAACCCCTCTCCCACCTCCCTCCCCATCCCATCCCTCAGGGTTGTCCCAGTGCACTGGCTTTGAGTGTCCTGTTTCAGGCATCGAACTTGGACTGGTGATCTATTTCACATAGGGTAATATGCATGTTTCAACGTTATTCTCTCAAACCATCCCATCCTTGCCTTCTCCCATGAGAATTATTGTTGTTTAGATGTCCATATTACCCACAAAAACCTATAGATTCAATACAACTCCCATCAATGAATAAAAGAAAAAAAATAAGCTATGTCTTTTTAATTTAGCCATAAAAAATAATATTGCTATATGTGATACCATGGATGGACCTTGACTGTTTTATGTTAAATGGGCTAAGAAAAATACTAACACTATATAATCTCACGGGTGAATTCTGTGGTGTCCCAAGGACAAAAGAACAGGAAAACAAACAAACAAACAAGCAAGGAGGGCCTGGAATGCAGGAACAGGAAAGAAACAGACTCTTATTGTCCCTCCCTCCCCCATGCTGTAACTATTAAAGAATTTCAGGTCCTCCTGAGCAGTATAACCTGTCTCCCCTCCTACTCCATAGGAAGAAGGTATTTGCCTTACTCTTCCCCACCTCATCCAATCAGCAAAATGATCTGTAAGACCCCTATCCCGCTCATTGTACCCTTGATATAAAAATGGATTAGGACCCCTGTTCAACATCAGCTCCCCCTTGAGCTGGCCCACTGTTCTAGCAGCATCTCCCACTCTAATAAACTTTATTCTCCTCTCATTCTGCCTCATGTCTGGAAATTCTTTTCCAATCCGCACACAGACCATTACAGTTTCTAAAATAACAGCAACAAAATACCCTAATTCTAACAAAAAATGAGCTTGTAGAAAAGAGAAAAATTGGTGGTTGCCAGAGAAAGATGAATAAAATGGGTAAAAGAAGTAACAATATGCAAACTTCCAGTTATATAAATTGTCATTGGGATGTAATGTACAGAATAGAGCTTATAGTTTATTTAGTTGTATTTTGAGATTTTTATCTTTAATTACTTTTTATTGGAGTATATTTGCTTTACAGTGTTGTGTTAGTTTCTAATGTACTTCAAAGTGAATCAATTTTATTTATACATATATTTTTCTTTTTTGGATTTCCTTCCCATTTCTGTCACCACAGAGCACTCAAAACTAATGTTATCACTTCACACCTGTCAGAATGAACATCATCAAAAAATCTGCAAACAATAAATGCTGGAGAGGATATGAAGAAAAGGGAAACTTCTTGCACTGTTGGTGGGAATGTAAGTTGTTTCAGCCTCTATGAGAACAGTAAGGAAGTTCCTTGAAAGTAAAAAAAAAAAAAATAGAACTGCCATATGACCCAGCAAGGGGCTTCCTCAGTGGCTCAGCTGTAAACAATCTGCCTTCAATGCAGGAGATGAATGAGATGTTAATTGGATTCCTGGGTTGGGGAGATCCCTTGGAGGAGTGCATGACAACCCACTCCAGTATTCTTGCCTGGAGAATGCCATGGACAGAGGAGACTTGCAGGTTACAGTCCATCAGGTAACAAAGAGTTGGACAAGACTGAAGCGAGTGAATATGCATGCATGCAATACCCAGCAATCCCACTACTGGGGATATACCCAGAGAAAGCCTAATTCAAAAAGACACATGCACCCCAAATTTTATTGCAACATTATCTAAAATAGTCAAGTCATGGAAGTCATCTAAATGTCCATCAACAGAAGAATGGATGAAGAAAATGTGGTACATATAATTAAGAACATTGGTGAGTTTAAAATTCATATCTTGCTTTTTTTGAACTCTCTGGAATTTCCTGGAATATTTCTAATCTATTGTTGGGTGAATCCGTAGGTGTGGAAGCCACAAATTCAGAAAGCCAAATGAACTAATGTAAGAGGGTAGGGTATGCCAGAAAAATGTTTTCCATATTTTAAGATTGAGACCCATTAGTGTCACAGACTAAGGTTTGTAATAATTAAATACAATACAATCAAATACTTGAGGATTATCATTCATAATCCCTGCAAAATTGTTTCATGGTTCTCTTTGTCCCGTTCTGTGTGAGTATGCATGTATGTGTATATGTTCATT